TTCTCTAATAAATTCATTTGGGTTGGAAGCTTCCAATCAAATTTTATACTATTGGAAGCATAAGATGCACATCACTGGTGTCCGGTATTTGTTTATCGGTTATAGTTTATTTTTAGTTTATTTTTTTGTATAAAAATCCAGAAACACGTGATAACCCGATATCCGCATATCGGATCGGGTGTCGGGTTCAAAATTTGTCTTATCACGAAAAATATAGGAATTACTGGAAATTGGGAATATCGGGAAATTGGAATTCGGGAATATATCCATAAATAGATTCAAGGCTGAAGGTTTTAAGATTGTTGTAAATGATTTTTGTTAATTTCAGACAGAGTTATGCAATTTGATTTCAGGGTTTTCATAGAAGCTAATAAATACAAATGTCAATAGATTGTAATTTTTGAAATTGAATTATTTTTTATTTTCAAAAAGGTTTATATCTCATGTACCCTCATGCTCTTATTTAAAATTTCGCTCATGAAAATGATACATCCTATTTTTAGTACGCATACGTTTCACACTTTGAACTAGTGTTTCTGGCGAAACTATTTTTCAACATCCGAAACGTTTCTCCCAGAGAATTTTTCTATGATCCGAAACTATCCGAAACCTCCGAAACCTTAAATTTGGAAAGATTTTTGCAGATCAATTTGGCGAAACTAAGTTTCGCCCGAAACACTACTTTGAACGGAATCGAAGGAAATTCGCGTATTTAATAACGGAAATGAACGAACAATCATGCCATATCTACTGTTTTTCGGTACCAGGTGAGTCTTCAATTTCACGTGTTAAAACAGTGCCTAACGCCATTGCTAAGGTAGTAATTCAAAATAAGGGTCATTTGCTTTCTTTTAATCACCTTGAGTTTTTTCTAATTAGCATTATTTATCAATTCTTTCAGCCAGTTCTTGATAAATTAAATGTTTGTATCTGCAACGGTTAATTTCAAATTTTTTATTTCTCTTCGTGCATAAAACTGAAAGATCAAATTCAAATCCAGGTGTTTTGGTATAAAATGATCGTTCTATAGTAACATTTGCGTCCTTATTAATGTCAGTTTCGAAATTCACGAAAGTTGATTCAATGTAGTGTTTCAGGCGAAACTATTTTTCAACATCCGAATCGTTTCGCCCAGAGAATTTTCTATGATCCGAAACCTCCGAAACCCTAAATTTGGAAAGATATTTGCAGATCAATTTGGCGATACTAGTTTCGCCCGAAACACTAATTCAATGATAAATCTGTAGTTTTCTAAGAAAATTATTCCGTATTTTGAAAATTTGAAATTTCATTTGATGCAATAGGAATAATTGACAGGTCTGTAAAGTTAATGCCAATATCAGCAAAACCATCAAGCTCGATAAAGCTTACTCTTCACTTGATACGAAAAATCAGTAATACCTCAATATACTTTGCTATTGATATTATTATTTACTTGTATAGAATCTGGATTTGGTAATAATAATGCAAATAAACTACCGAATGATAAACTTTTACTTTTTTTCCAATATCTAATTTATCCTTGTTGTTCGCACTTTTGACGTTGTAAAATCTTAAAGCCAACGACAAGTTTATACCAACAAAATTATATATTAGCAAATACATTTAAAATTTGTAAGAATTAAATTTGCAAAAAAATTATTTTATAAGTTTTATTTATTTAAACTAATTTCAATTATAAATACTAGAAGTTGCAAAAACAACATTTAATATAATGTTTAAAATTTGGAACAAGAAGTCAATAATAGAAGAAAATATTGATAATTGTTATGAAATAAAATAGCTTATTACAATATACTTCCCTTAAAATGTAATCATGAAATTCGATAATACCAAATTTTTCAAATGTGTTAATTAACTATAAACATTACAATTCTTTTAATAATTTATTACATAGATTAATTAATAGTATTAATAGTTAAGATAATTTTACTAGGAACACATAAATAAAGTTTATTTGCTCAGTAATCGATCAGAGGATATTTACCATTTATCGAACATGATTATACTTGGGTAATCCGTTATTCGGTAAAAATGAAAAAGCCTTGTTTTGCCCGTGTGAGTTGAGTAGTTTGGCCGCTTCGGCATTGGCGCCGGTTTCATACTTAAAGATAATCGAACCCATTCAGTAAATCCCACCTTGATCATTATGGGGTTTGTGTAAAGTAGTGCACGGGTTGGGTCGGACTTGAAGCAAATTCGAGTTATTAATTACAAAACCAAAATTCGACTTGATCCGATTATTGTTTAACCCGGATTCGACTTAAATTTTCAAGGGTAAGTTCATTGCCGAAAATAAAACTATTAAATAATAATCATTTCTAGCCATTATTGCTAAAGGTGGATATTCGGTTAATGTATCTATATAATTTAATTGAATTAATAAATTAAATAATATATCATTAAATACATTTATTTGGCTAACATATTTTTTTATATTTACAAAAATAAGATTTAAAATTACATCTTATTCATTCATTAAGATTTTTTATTTCTATATCAGTAATAGATGGTGTTATAAGTATTAAGAACTGTTTTCTTTAGCATAACGAAACAAGTTTGTTTCCATTTTTTATCTTCATAATAACCAAGTGGATCAGAATTACCTATTATAATTCATTCTATTTTTAATATTACTTAAAACAAGTTTAACATATCAAAGTTGCGTAAAACGAAAAAAAGAAGTTCACCGGGTCACCCAAACCATGACACTGACCCGACAGGTTTTATTAAAATAATAACTCGAACTCGAATTAATTCTCGGGTCGAATGACCTGGGTCGATTCGATCTGCTGCTCGGAGCAATAGCGTAAAGAACGAATTGAGTTGTGTGATCCATCAGCGTGATATTACAAATGACAAATTATCTGCATGAAAATCAATGAATTCCGGGATCTTGTTACACAGTTTTTAAATTTTCGTAAATCGATTTTATCAAAAAATTTTAATTTATTTTACAGCTAATATATTCTTTGTTTTGAAACAAAGAAACTAATTAAATAAAATTCATTAATAATATCTTCTGATTATCTAATATCCAGCCTGCTCCTGAGGTCTGGTTAGATAAGTTAGTTGAATTTTTTTGGTTTCACAGCCGTAATTAATTATAAAATACTTTGAGCTCTCAATGTTCAGGGAAATACAAAAATATGTAATTGGTTTACAAATATGTACACAAGAAAGTTCGTAACGTAAATTGTTAGTTATGAGGATAGTCTTTTTTTTGTTTTATTTTTTTTTGTAAATGCAAAAAAAACTATATAAAACTTTAAATTAATATTTGTTTCATTTATAACCAAATTTATAATTTGAAACACTAATTTACGAGTCGAGTAAAAAAAATAGTCTTGGCCACATTGATCCGCATAGTCCTGATAGGTCATTGCATTATCTTATTTCTTTATTTGATGATCTACATACAGAACAGTTAAAATAAATGAGTCCTTATGGGGAAAATCAATTTTACTTTTTTATTTTTTCCAGACGTTTCCCCTTTTATTGCAAAGGTCCTAAAATAAATACAGTATATTTATCAAAACAAATGTACGTATTATTTAGGAAATTCCCTGAAATGAGATTGATTTCGTTATTTGTTCTATTTTTCATGTGTATTGGATCAACAGTCAAACATAAATGGTAAATCAATTATAAATAGGATGAAATTTTTTACGTTAAGATTTTTGTCTGTTAAATTGCGAACATTTAAATAGATAATTGAAACTATTTCTTTATTTGCTTTTAAAAAATGTAAGTATTTTCTTGTAATCTATCTAAATTTTCTTGATCATTTCACAGATGATTCAAAAAAAAGAAACTGAAGAATCACTTCGTGATAACAAACCTTTGGTTGACAATTTGTCCGATACCTTTTATTTTATCATTTAATTTTTTAAAAAATAAAATCGCATGTAGAAATAACGCAAAATAAATACTTCTATTGTTGGATAATTGTTTCCCGTCTCCGTTTATTGATTTCGAACTTTTGACAAAAAAAGATTGGATCACCAAATGCGCTATAATTCCCTGTTGCACTTAAAAATATTTTTAGAAGAATTAATAAAACATACTTTCACTCAATTAATAACTTGATAGAGAAGGCTTAAAATTTGTGTATGATTTGTTAGGAAAATTGGATCCTTAGAATTTTTTATAATTAAAATTAAGATTTACCGGTAAATTCATCAAGAAAACAAAATCTCAATTGTGTTACAGAACACTCGCATGCCGATAATTGCCGATAAAAGCATTAATCGACAATTTACTTGTCAATTTTCTAGATCTCATGTCTGGTTTTGGAAAATGTACAGATTGTGGAAAAGAAAGAATCAGTGATGGATGGTGTAACGCATGTGATGTAAATGCTCTTAAGGAAAGTTTCGGAAATTGGACAAGTGGTAATCAAATTATTGACGATTTCATCAAATATACACAATTGAGCGCAACACAGAACTTAGATTATTTAGAATATATAGATTTTGAACAATTTGATCTTTTAGAAAATACAAATAAAGACGGGGCCTTTAGCACAAATTATTCAGCGATTTGGATGGAAGGTCCTCGATGTATCTGGGATGAAGATGCCGGCCAATGGACACGAAGCGGACCTATGAAAGTTGCTCTAAAAAGGCTTAATCATTCGCAAGATATAAGTGTTAATTATTTGATGCAAGTAAGTTACGTTTACTTATTATTAACTTACTTGTTTACCTTTTTACTGTAATAATAATAACATTATTTAATGATAATAAAGGTTTATAATTATCATCGTTGTTTGCATGGTGGAAATGCAGACTTTTTTGGTATAACTAAAGATTATACTTCTCATTTCATGTTGGTCATGAAATATTATGAATATTATGAAAATAGAGACTTATATTCATACCTTGATGAAACTCAAGGAAAGCTTTGTTGGAGAGACATTGTTATTATGCTTTGGCAAATATTGGAGGGAGGAATTGTACAATATCATGAAAAGGGATTGATTCATGGAAATATTCATGGAGGTAATATATTGGTTGAAGTTAAACAAGATTCGTTTGAAAATATTGATATCATAGATATTGAGCCATATTTAATTGATAAGAAAAGTTCAAATGAAATTTATGGAGTTATTCCTTATATTGCACCCGAAATCTTGCAAGGAAATTCACTAACAGAGGCTGCAGACATTTATAGTTTTGGAATTATTATGTGGACACTTTCTGCTGGTATTCGTCCATGGTGTAATAGACCACATGATCTTAAATTAGCCAATGAAATTTGTTCCGGAATTCGCCCAGAAATTATCGATGGAACTCCAAATGCTTATACTCAGTTAATGACACATTGTTGGGATCCTAACCCTTCAATCCGTCCAACTGCTTCTGAATTAAACGAATTATTAGGAAGTTTGATAAATGCTATATGTGACGATCCGCATCCATCCGAATTATCTAATCAATTTGATCTTGCTGATGAGGAAAAAATTTCAAATTTGAAGAATAATAATTTTCATCAGGAAAGAATCCATCACGAGGCTTTTTATACTAGCAGGCTTATGTATTTTCCTGAAATATATAATTATAATAGTAAAAGAGTATAAATTGGTATTAATATTAATTATGCATAACTATGTTCATAAGATATAAATTATAGTTTAAAGATTTATTTAAGACAAAATTTTATGAAAAAATGATTTTTACGTTACCAACCCATATAAATCATGAATCTTTTATAAGTTTTTCCTGAAAATATAAAAATGATAGTAAAATGGCATTTATATTAATTATATGTTAATTATGCATAACCTATAGATCCATAGGATATAAATTATAGTTTAAAGATTTTTTAAGACAAAATTTTATTGAATTTTTACGTTAATTTTGTTACCTTAAATATTATTCTGTCCGAAAACACCATATACCAGGTTGGCAGGATGATGGTAGGATTCCAGGCTGTCTTAATAATTATTTTCTTTATAAATATGAGCTGGAAATCATTAAACAGATCAACATACTACGCTCGCCTTATAATACATTTATACACCTTAAAAACCTTCCTTTATCCATTCGCGATATTTCGCTTTCGCCGTTTTTAATATATAATTTTATTTTGTAATTTCTTTTATTTTTTATTTTTAATTCCCGGTTATTCTTATTATTTTATTACACATTATTCGTAATTGCGCGGTTTAATTAATAAGAATTTAGTGGTTGTGGCAACACTGATTAATTTGATATTATTAAATAAATTTAACGTCAACATTACTTCATTTTTAATAATAAAACCTTCTCTTACATTTTAAAATTGTTCATAAATAATAAACGAAAGAACTACATTATTTAATAATAATTATTAATATTATATACTGTACATGACAAAAGCAATTCCTTGATTCAAATTAATAAAATTCTCACATAAACTTTTTAGTTATTACATATAAACAATGCACGATGTCATATCATACTATTAGGACTACTACAAATAGTAAGTTGGAATGGTAAATTTCTATTGACGAACCCAATATGACATCTTCGTTACATATATCTATGGCTTTTTGTTTGGCGAATCGCCAACGACTTTGAAATATGGTCAAAATTTTATTTATAAGAGATTAACTTCAGTCGCTTCGGCCAAGTAAAAGGACTGTGATACGAACTTAGACCTTCCAATGAATCCATAAATCAATTCATAACCTGCAATAGATTCACATTCAACATTCAATAAAATATTGGTTAGTCGGTATACAGAAAGAATTTACAATTTTGGAGCATAAAAATTGGGATAATTCATGGAAATTTTCACGGAGGTAATAAGCCAGATTCAATTAATACACGTAATAAAATAGATTTGAATGACATTTATGGAGTTCTTTCTTATGTAGCTTCTGAATTCTTGCGAGGGAATCCAATAACAAAGGACTCCGACGTTTTTAGTTTAGAAATTTTTAGGAAAATCAGGTTCCGAGATATTTTTGACTAAAATTAAGAGCTTAATGCATTTTAATCTAATAACATCAAAACTAAAATGCAATAAAATCTCAATTTTGTTAAAAATTCCCCGGAACCTGATTTCCCTGGCAATCAACCCATGTGACCTTTTCTGCTGGTATTCGTCTATGGTGTAATAGACCACATGATTTTAAATTAGCTAGTGGAATTTTTAATGAACTTCGACCTGAAATTATTGATGGTATTCCAAATGTTTACATTCAACTAATGACCAATGTTTGCATTCCGTTGCTTTAAGACGTCCAATTGCATTTGAATTTAACGAATTATTAGGAAGATGGATAACAACGACCCCGATCAGACAGAATTATCCGATCAATTTGATCTTGCTGAGGAGAAAAAATTTTCAAATTTTAAAACAATTTCGAATATTGTAGAATAATTTCTTCACATTTTAAAACAATCTAATATTTTAGATATTGTTTGGTGATCAAGTATGTTAATTTCTTTTACGTGATCGGGAAATCGTACTGTAACCAAATAAATGTTTATTCTTGCGGCTGTCCCACATGATCAATTGTCTGTGCGTTTAGGGAACCACATTTAAATTTTATAGCACAATCAAACAAGAATATCATTATGATTTTTCTTTTTCAGTGTATGTTGGGATGTTTAAATATAGAAGAAACATCTTCCTTAATCTTAATACTAAGTAAAAAAAAACCCCCCTTAATTTGGAAATTTGTGTTCTTGTTCTTGTTCTTTTTTTTTTTTTTTTAACTACGCAAGGAGATTATACCCTATATATAATTACAATATGAAAAACAAGCAGAATTTATTAATTTTGATATTGTTCCCGAATTCAATGCATTTATACCTTTTGAGAGATCAATCCAATCCATAAATTTTATTTTAAATTGCTCGTGGTTCACGCGAATCACCAGCAGATTAAGTTAATGTCCTAATGGGTTTTTGCCGATCCGATCATTATATTGTAACTTTATTTGGTAAGACAAGAAGCGGTTAGATCCTTTTAAGTTATCATAACGGACTAAACTATATATAGATAAAATTACAATTGGAAAAAATTTATACCGAGGGCTGAGCAAATGAGAATGTTCTATTGGTAATTTTTTATGCCAAGTAATACATTGAAATAACCATCCGAACGAATTAGAAAAAAATTCATCAATAAAAAAGAAAATGGTTTTAAAGAACAATTTAGAAAAAAACCTAAAAGACTTGGAAAAGAGAATTAAGGAATTAGAGCAAAGTAACGAAGGGTTACTTTCACAATTCAAATATTTAGAAGAAGTAACCAAAGCCAATATTAATAATTTAGAAGAAAAGGTTAGAAAGTTAGAAGAAGAAACAAAAGCCAATATTAATAATTTAGAAGAAAGTGTTAAAGAGCAAGAAGAAGACATTAAAGCCAAGCAAGAATTTATTAATAATTTAGTTGATAAGGTCAGAGGAGAAGCCAAAGCCAAGCAGGAAATTATTAATAATTTAGAAGATAAGATTAGAAGAAGTGTCCAAAGAAAAACAAGAAATTATTAATGAATTAGAATCGAAAATCAGAAATTTTGAATTAATTATTTATGAGGATACTATTGATAGTTTAACTATTACAGATACTAATAAGACCTACATATTGAACACCTTAGGCGGATTACAAAGATATCGAAAATTGACAAAACTCAACTTTAATAATTCTCAAATTACTAGCTTACCAATTTTACCTGACTTTTTAACGAAACTCGATTGCTCCAATACTCGAATAACAAGCTTACCAGCATTACCTAACTCCTTAGTTCGTCTTTACTGCGAAACACTCAAATAACAATCTTATTAACATTACCTAACTCCTTAACAGTACTCTGGTGTTCTAACACTCAAATAACAAGCTTACCAATATTACCTAACTCCTTAGAAACACTCAAGTGCGACTATACTCTCATAACAAGCCTTCCCACTTTACCTAACTCTTTAACGGTACTCCATTGCTCTAATACTCAAATTACTAGCTTACCCATATTACCTAACTCTTTAACAAAACTCCATTGCCATGAAACTCAAATAATACGTTTACCAATATTGCCAAATTCCTTGACGGAACTCTACTGCAATGAAACTCTAATAACAAGCTTATCAAAACTACCAAACTCCTTAAGGGAGCTCCATTGCGATAAAACTCATAAAACAAGCTTACCAAATTTACCTAACTCCTTAAAATTTAAAAATTAAAGTCGATAAAATTTTAGCAATCTAGCTTTTTAATTTTTAACTTTAATTAATAAAATGATCAGTTTGACTTTATTGTTCATAGAGCTGCGACTCGTTACTTATTACTCGAATACACGAGTACATGACTATCGTGCTGCAGAAAAATCTTTAATTATATTTATTGGATCCTTATTTAACGCTTAAATTTCTTATTATATTTATTTTATTAATTATATTTAATATAGTTATTATCTTTATTATCTTTATTACAATTATTATATATTCTAATCTTATTTATATAGTAAAGTTAGATTAGAATTTTTGTATAAATAGTTTTGTAGTTTGAATGTCGACAGAGTTTTTCAGATTTTTTCAGATAGAAGGCCTATTCAATTCCGATTGATGCAATTTTTTGATGTACATCGTTATTAACCAATCATAATTCATAATTCAATGTATAAAATTGAAAAGAGTTGATGTATTCTTTGTTTTGAAACAAAAGAAACTAGAAACCAAACCAATTAAATAAAATTTCATTTAATGATATCTTCTGATTATCTAAAATCCGACCTGCTCCTGTATTAGTTAAAATATTTAGTGCAATATATGAAAATTCAAATTTTGCCCAAAGTTTTATGACTTTGACTCTCAAAATTCAAAAATATGTAATTGGTTAACAAATATGTGCACAAGGAACTTCATAACGTAAATTGTTAGTTATGATGGATAGTTTTTTTTTTTTTTTTTTTGTAAATAAAAATAACTATAAAACTTTAAATTAATATTTGTTCATTGTATAACCAAATTTGGATAATTCATAATTTGAAACACTAATTCAGTACGAGTAAAAAAATAGTCTTGGCCACCATTGATCCTCATATCTGACAGGTGTATCAATATAATAATTTGTTATTAAAACGTGTCATGTCTATGTAGGTCAGTGTTGGAAATTGGACAATTTTGGAGGTTATAGACACATTTTTCTATGTCCAAAACTTGAACAAAACATTTTAAAATCAAAAAATGTGTCCAAAACCCAACACTGATGTAAGTCATTGCTGATCGGTCATTGCTGATCCCATTCAAATATTGTAGATATATATATATTTTTTTTGATGATCTACAAATACATAACGTAACGATAAAGCCAACTATGGGGTCGTTGTTATAATACGTGACTTGACAGATCTTTGGCCAGAATTACGGCATTAAGTGTGATTGCCCCGGTGATAAATAACATGTGACAAGATATCAGATACCGAAAAAATTATGTCCCCAGAAACTTAATAAAATAAAAAAAAAAACAGGGAGTGACATGATGTGACGTATACATAATTAAAAAAAGGTAAATTTGTTACGAAAATTTTAAGAGCCTTAGGAAGCAGGAAATATAAGAAAAAATCCGATAATGGAGTTATTTATGCTTCAGATCATTGGCTATTTTTCATAGGTGAATTTATTATATATAACGTTTCAATAAAAAGAAATGAGATTTTAATCTATACCTAATCAAGGCCTAATTTTCATGGTTCCGCCGTGGGAATACCTCACTTTAGCAAATCATATTTTTGAAAATAGAATAGCATAAATGATCACTTATTAATTACTTTATTTGAGATTCGAACTGACCAAAAAACACTAATGTGATTGCAGATCGACTTATTTTATATTAATGTTATAATTTTATGTTATTGAACGGCCATATTTTAACGCTCCGTCCAATAACTATAATATAACGATACGAGCGTGTATTAATAAATAAATAATTAGATTATGATTCGAATTTCACTTCATATTATAATTATTTACAACATATTAACGTAAGCTATAGTACAAATGCATTAAGTTTAGTTCGTAAACTGTAATTCTAAAATGAGTAAGTCAATAATTAAAAAGATTTTTTTTTTAAACGTGTAATTTACAAACTCAATTAAAATAAATGTGACTTTGGGGGAAACTGCCGGAAAAAATCAATTTTACCTTTATATGCAAATATGATTTTTAGGTCAAAATATTTACAGATTTAGCATTACAACTGTTTCATAAGCCACGGGAAACACGGAAATTTGTTGCCGAATACTTGCCGGCAACCCGGAAAATCAGATTGCTAGAAAAACAATAATAAACAATGTGACGGCCACCAATACCTAATGTTTATAAATTAGCAGTGATCCGGCGACTTAAATAATTTAAAAATTCAATTGTGTTATTTATATAATAATAATATCACGTGTTTATTGTTATTTTTGGCAACCCGAGTTGCCGGGTTGTCGGCAAGTACTTGGCAAAAAAATTTGCCAAGTGACTGTCCCGTAACTCATTTTTTATTTTTTAAACACGTTTCTCCTTTTCTGTTGCAAAGGTCCCAAATATATTTATCAAAACAAACGTACGTATTATTTAGGAAATTCCCGAAATGAGATAGATTGATTTCGTTTCGTTATTTGTTCTATTTGTTTCATGCGTATTGGATCTACAACTGACAAACATAAATGGAAAATTAGTTATAAATAGGTGAAGTTTTTTACGTTGATATTATTGTCTAGGACATTTAAATAGATAATTGAAATTACTTCTTTTTTTGCTTTTATCAATTGTAAGTATTTTTTCTTGTAATCTATCTAAATTTTCTTGATCATTTCATAGATGATTCAAAAAAGAAACGTGAATTCACTTGTGACAACAAAATTTTGGCAATTGCGCGTGATAATTTGTCCGGTACATTTTATTTTATCATTTAATTTTTTTAAAAAATAAAAAAACGCATGTAGAAATAACGCAAAATAAATACTCCTATTGTAGTTTAATTGTTTCGCGTCTTCGTTTTATTGATTTCGAACTTTTGACAAAAAAGATCTGGCAATCAAATGCGCTTAAAAACATTTTTGATTATTTCATGGAAGTACAAATTGTTTATTCTTCGCTATAAGAATTAAATTTCACAATAAATCATAATTAATAATTTGATAGAGAAGGCATAGAATTTGTGAATGATTTGGGACCTTTGCGAAACTGCTAAAAATGAGTTAATGCCTGAAAATCATATTTGGCATATAAAAATAAAATTGATATTTTTCGGCGGTTTCCCCCTTTCTATTGCAAAGGTCTCATTTTTAGGAAAATAAGGGATCCTTAGAATTTTTTTAATTACATTAAAATGCAAAAAAATAAAATCTCAATTGTGTTTCAGAATTAGCACCAACCACTTATTGCCAATAAAAGCACTAATCGACAATTTACTTATTTGTCAATTTTGTAGGTCTCATGTCTAATAATTTAGATATAAATTTGGCATTGATTGGAGTAGAAAATGAATTTGATTCTGGTTTTGGAAAATGCCCAGCTTGCGGAAAAGAAGGATCAGTAATGGATGGTGTAAAGATTGTGAAACCAATGCCTTTAAAGAGAATTTTAGATATTGGACAAGCGAAAATCTTAATTTAATTAGATATACTCAATTGAATGCAACTGGAAGTGTAGATTATTTAGAATATATAGATTTTAAACAATTTGATCTTATAGAAAATACAAATAAAAGTGATGACTTTAGCACAATTTATTCAGCGATTTGGATGGAAGGTCCTCGGTAGATATGGGATGAAATGGCTGACCAATGGACACGTAATGGACTCATAAGAGTTGCTCTAAAGAGACTTAATAACTCGCAAATTATAAGCGCAGACTATTTGAATCAAAGTTAGTCAAGTTTTATTTAAGATTCTTTTATTCGCTTGTCTTTTTAACTTAATAACATTTTTTAATGAATTTTAAAAAAGCTTTATAAATATCAGCGTTGTCTGCATGGTGGAAGTGTAGCAGATTTGTTTGGTATAACTAAGGATCATGCTTCAAATTACATGTTTGTCATGAAATTTTATGAAAACGGAGACTTACATTCATATATTGATGAAACTCAAGAAATGTTTTGTTGGAGAAACATTGTTGAAATGCTTTGGAGTATTTCTGGAGCAATTGAAAATTATCATGAAAAGGGATTAATTCATAGAAATCTTCATAGAGGAAATATTTTGGTTGATGTTACACAAGATTCATTCGATAATATCTATATCCCGGATAATGAACTATATTATTCCTTTGATAAGAATGATTCAAATGAAATTTATGGCATTCTTCTTTATTTGGCTCCTGAAGTCTTGCAAGGGAAACGAATAATAAAAGCATCCGACATGTTTAGCTTTGGAATTATTATGTGAACACTATCTGCCAGGGTTGGCAAATGACCAGGTCTTTTGACATATTATCTGACCATTAGACCAATAAACCAGGTCTTGATGGTCTAATGGTTAATTGGTTTGAAGTGGTACAGCTTACATTTTATTGGCAAATGACCAAGGTCATTTGAGATCATTTGAGGTCATAGACCTTGAAAAGACCACTAATAGACCATTAATTAATCAGGTTATTTGGCCATTAAAATAAATTGATTATCAATTGATATCTAAATTCTAAATTTTTTTTTACTTGTTTCAGTTTAATTTCGTTTAATTTCAATTATTAGTTTACATTTTTTTTATTATTTTTGTAAAAATGCCACCATCAAAAAAAGTATTAATAAATATATAGGTGGTAAAGAACCACACCGTTGGCAACCTTATTTGAAATTTTAAATGAATATAGAGAAAGTAATTCAACAAATAAACTTTGCATTTGTAAAGAATGCAAAAAAATAAAGGGAGATGATGCTTACAAAGTTACTAATACAAAAAAATGTTGTCGATAACATTTAAAGCAATGTATTCATATTCAAACTTCTTTATCAGTAGAAGAATATGATAAATTACTTTCTGAAATAAAAAAAGATGAAAATTATGATAAAAATAAAAGAGATAATAATAAACATTTAAAAACAGATGGTAAAAATTTTCACTTTTTATTTTAATTTTATATTATTTTAATTTATAATAAAACTTTTTATTTAGCTATTTATATCTCTTCGAAATCTTCAACAACTTCTTCATATACATCTTCCAAGTTTTCATCTTCAAGTTGAACAAACAATGACCAATGTTCAACATCTATTTGGAAAATTCCAAATGCAGTTCCTGAATTTCATGATCCTAAACCAAATTTATCAGATATTACATATTATATGCCTCGTCGACTTTCAGAACAGGATATTAAACATTTTGAATCTTTAACATTTCGAGCAACAGTTTCAGTAAGATTACCATTCACATGGACTCAAAATGAAGAAATTAAAGAACTAATAAAATTTATCAATCCTAGTATTACTTTACCATCCCGAAAAATGCTTAGCAATCGAATTTTAAAATCAGAAGCAAAAGATGTTCAAACTCATATTAAAAATATTGTAAAAAATGATCCAATTGGACTTACTATTATATTCGATGGTTGGAAAAATGTAGTAAAACAATCTATATTAGGTGTTGTTATGATTACTTCTTCTGGACAAGTTTTAATTTGGGATGCTGATAATATAAGTGGTGAACGAAGCTGTGAAATTGATATATGACCACAAATGCAATATTGGATTGAAAAAATTAGCAACAAGGGTATAAATATAATTTGTGTAGTAACAGATTCTGCTGGTTCATATGTTGCTGCGAGATTTGTATTTATTTAAATAATCTATTGTATTTATTATAAAAATTTATTGTTTTATATCTTTTTATTATATATAGGGCAAAAATGCGAAATGAAATTCGTAATAAAGTTTTTTTACCATGTTTTGCTCACCAAATGAATTTATGTGTGGGTGATATATTTAAAGAATCTGAAAAATATAAAAAAGTTTCAATTCAAGCTGTTGCAATTGTATCTTTTTTTAATTCTTCAACATACTTTTTGGGAAAATTAAGGCAAGAACAAATTGAATTGAATGGTCATATATCTGCACTTCAAAGATCATGCGAAACTAGATAGAATAGTCATTATTCTTGTATAGCAAGCATTTTGAAAACAGAAATTGCATTAAAGGTTAGTTAAATTAATTTATAATTTTTTATATTTTAAAATTTTATTTATAATTTTATTTTTATTTTTTTTAGTTACTTATAACTAAAAATCAAAGACCAGGCTATAACAAACGTGGTGATTTACTTATTTCCTCTAATATAACAGATATTGTAAATGATCAAAGCTTTTGGTCTGATCTTAAAAAACTTCATAATCTTCTTATTCTATTTTGCGGTGCTCTTAATAAGTTACAAAGAGATAGTGCACAGCTGCACAATGTATTACATTATTTTGGCTATTTGGTTAAACTTTTTAAATATTATCCTAATGAAACTTTTGGACAAAAGATATGTACACGATTAGAACGAAGATGGAAATCATGGGAGCAACCTTACTTCTAATATCATTTTGGCTACATCCTGAATATCGTCTTAATAAGTTTAGTAAAAAATATGCAAATCTTATTTTTGATTTATCTGAATGGTTACAATATTATTTTGAATCATGGTTTTCTCAACTGGCACAATATTTATTAAATAAAATTGAAGATTATGAATCAAAACAAAGGTCTTTTGACGATATATCTTATTAACAATTTAATGGTGATATATTAAAATATTGGCGGTTTTGTTCAAGAAAAGATAGGAGCGAGCTTGCAAAAATTGCATGTAGAATATATGGAATTTGTGTAAATTCAGCTTTGGTTGAACGCCTATTTTCCAATATGAAATATTTACATTCAAAAAGTCATAATCGTTTATTGGTAATTATTTTTTTTATTTTTAATTTTTAATTTAATAATTTTAATTTACTAATAGTATTTTATTGAGAAAGCATAACAAAGTATTGGCGATGAGTCAATTACAAGCTGAACTTCAAAAATAAAAGGTTCTTCAAAATATACAAAAATCAAAAAAAATATCACAATTTAATTCTATTAATAAAATACAGTTCTTAAATGACGAAACAGAGATGAATACTAGTGAATTTGAAGCATTTCGGGTATCAGATTATTCTGATGAAGAAGAAGATAATAGCAATAATGAAGAGAAAGAAAATGGTAAGGAAATGATAATATTAGACTGGGATGCATGTATTAATCGTTGGATTGAAATGGTTAATGATGAATTATATGAAGATGAAATTAATATTGAAAATTGAAGTATAAATAGAAATATTCATCCAGCAGAAGATTCAAAAGCAAAATAGATTTTATTTGATTTATTTACAACTGGTCTTGAAGCTCTATCATTTGCTATTGATCTTGAATCAATTGAAATTTAATATATAATAATAAATTCTGTTGATAATATATGCGATTAATAATTTTATTTGTTTATTTATTTTAAAAATTTTAAATTAATTTTAATTCGAAATTAAAAATTTATCATTAAA